GTGAGAAAGCGTGAGCCAGCCCAGACAGCCCCCGCGGCCAGGGCACAACGCTCCGTGCCCACCCGCCTCGAGAGGAGAAGGCAAAGGGGAAGGTTATCGCTGCCTGCAGCTCCCTAAGGGCAGGGAGCAGTGCTGAAGGATGCAGAGGATGGAGAGGTGCAGGAGGATGCACCCTGAACTTCGAGGTGCACAGTGACAGGAGCAGCGATGGGCACAAGTCACAACACAGGCAGATCCAGCCAGATATATAGAAAAAACCTGAAAGGATTTTATCTGAAGCCCTCTGAATACCACTTGGAGGGGTTGTTTTGGGGTTTTGGTTTGGGGTTTTTTTTTTTTCTTTTTTTTTGTTTTTTTTTCCCCTGGATTGTACACTCCTGTTGAGCCACAGGGATAAAGCACTAGAGGGCACCCACGGATTTCTGCTGGCAGGTGGCTCTGGCTGCTTTTTTTTAAAAAAAAAACCCAAACAAACAACCCACAACATAAAAACAAACAAAACCCCCAAACCCTGGGATTTCTAAGTTGGGAAAAAAGCCTCGATGCCTGGCACACTGCGCACCTATTCTTTCCTTTCGGGTTACTCTGGTTTCTTCTGCTCTCACTTGCTGAGGACAGACGGTTTGGGTGAAGAGGAGGAGGAGGTGTGGGGCTGGCTCTCCCCCAGACCTCTCCAGTTTCATCCCACCAGCCTGAGCGCTGGGAAACAGGTCCCCAGGGACTGTCCCACAGGGCCACCGGTACTCACAGGTCGAGCGGAAGAGGATATCTCTCCTTTTCCTTCGTGGGCAGCACAAAGTAGGGCAGGGGGTACAGCATCCCGCTCTTATCCCGGTACCACCGGCGGTGCTGCTGGCTCCCCTGCAGAGAAAGGCAAAATCAGGGAATCCCAGGATGGTTTGGGCTAGAAGGGACCTTAAAGCCCACCCAGTGCCACCCCCTGCCATGGCAGGGACACATCCATCCAGGCGTTTCGGCACAGCTCAGCGCTCCAAGTTGTGTTTGCAGCAGGATTTCCCTGGGGTTGTTATTGCAAAGCCCATGGCAATAGCCTCCCCCTCCAGCCCTGCAGAGCCCCCGCTCACAGCCCTGCTCCTGAGCAGCCCAGCCTCACGGGCAGGTTAATGAGCAGCACCTGTGATTGCCTCATTAATTGGGCAGTTGCTCCGGGTGCATCCCAAGGTGCTAGCAAGAGATCGGCCCCACCGGGGGCAGGCATGGGGCAAACACTACTCAGAGCAGGGGCTCCTGCAGCTGATGCTCCTGCTGCTCCAGAAACCTTATCTCAGATCCTCGTGCACACAGATCCCTGCCCACCGCCCTGCAGATGCTGCCTGCTGCATGAAAGACCCCCCCC